ATTATCGTCGATCGAGGTTCTATCCTGTGACAACTCCTCGCCATTCTCCACAGTTTCTCTGAAATTGAAGAGATTAGACGGAAACGTAGAGAATTCTGTTATCAACATCTCGAAGAAGGACGTCCACGTTTTACTGACAGGTGAGAGTTAGAACTTGTTAAATTAAATGAAAATAAATATTCCAATAAGCCAATTAATGACGAAGAACTGTCGATACCTTATGATATTCGTGGGGAAAAAAAGTCACAATCCATTTGGTCTCGTTTTAAAGCGCAAAGTGTCTCTATCTTTTTTTTAGCACCATTTTATTAAATTTTGAATACTAGAGTTGAACGTGATAAAAATTCTATAAATGTATTTTGTTATTAACTTTCTCCTGATAAGTGTATTACTTTGAATTGCTTGACAAAATAATGTCTGATTATGTTCAGTTATGGTGCCAAAGTAAAATATACTTTTTCGAGCAAACATGCGATATGTATATAAATCATTTGTTCATTTTCGTATTTTTGCAGAGCTACGAAGAGCCAAGTCGTTGATGGAGAATCTATAAATGCCAATAAATAATATACTACACATGCAATACGACGTAATCTATGTAAACTAATCTACGTAATATTTTCAATAATAACGTTGCAAAGTGAAAATACTTCGTACCTCATTATTACCAGAAATCGATATTTTTCAATAAAAGGAAAAATTACTTTCGATAAACGATGCAAGCGAAATATATTTTATTGAAAGTATCTTTTCAAATGTATACACAGGGTGCTCAGACGAAAGTTGGTCAGATTTACTTGCATCAGTTGTAAATTACTACAATGAAAATCATCAAAAAATGGTTCTTTCAATGAAAACTCAAGATCTATTTTTAATTTTAAATTTTGTCACGCTGCAACTGATGTCAAGACAAGTTCAAGGACTTTCAAATGGTAGATATCTAGATCTGATTCAGATTTAGGAACATTGACATGTAAAGTTAGATTTATCTTTCTAGATGTTTCAATCGTTGGACAAAACTAACTAATCCTAGGCATAGAATAGCCCTGTACAATCGACAAAAAATCTTAAGAAAATGAGAGAGAGAGAGATGTGATAGGAAAGAAGTATTGCTAAGGTATAATGTATATTTATTATATTATTCATTTCTTGTCATATAGCATAACATTGTTATTTCTATAGTAATAATAATAATAATCATAATCATAATAATAATCATAATCATAATCATAACCATAATCATAATCATAATAATAGTAATCATAGCACCATGAACACTCCACAGTAAGTTTTTTTATTTCTTTTTTTTTTTT